AAAATTTTAATTCTCTCATTTATATTCAATTAAGCCAAAAATAACAATTCTTAAAATTAGAATTTTTTTGAAAAACTTCAAATTTAAACATTTCAACGAATGGTATGAACATATCGAAGAATTTCAGAGAAGGTTAACTTTTTGCTGAAAATTTGAAACAGCAGTTTTTTGAATGAATATTTTGTATTTTCAAAATGAGTTTTCAACCTTTTCAGAATTTTTAGAATATTCGAATTTCTTCGAGAAATTCAATTTTTATACAATTCATGAGTTTAAAAAACGCCTAAAATGACGGTTTTCATAGAAATCTAATTCGATTCTGTTAGAGATATTCGAATTCTAGAAAAATCCCAATATTGAAAATATTCAAAGTTTGAAACAGTTTAATTGTTTTCAGTTTGTTTTAAGTTGTCATGTTTGAGCTCATTTTGAAGCTTAAAAACTGCGAATTTTGCTTGTTTATATGAAAATCTGAATTCAACTCATTGAGAGCTTCAAAATAAGCCCAAACACGCCATGATTCGGTGAGATTCGGAATTTCGGGCGCGTCGCGGTCGTGCGTCGCGTGTTTTGGGCGAAACATCAAAATCAACAGATTTGGGCTTTGTTTGGGCTCATTTTGAAGCTCACAACCTCACAAGTATGAAAAAATGTTTTTGTGGTGGTTAGGACACTTTGAAGCGATTTATGGTCCAAGTAAATTTGCCCCTGAAATTTTTGAAATTTTTCTAGTCGTGTTTTAGGCTTATTTTGAAGCACTCAAAGTCAGAAATTCAAACTGTTGTTTTGAAAATTGTAAATTTAAAGTTGTGAGCAATTTGGAAGGTCCACAAGGTGTCTTTCAAAAAGAATAAAGATGTTTTTTTGCTGTTTCAAAGTTTGCTTTTCCAAAAATCATCAAATATTTGTCTATTACGTTCCCTCTCCATCCCAAAATTAATTAATTAATCGACTGTGAATTTTCCCCTATTTTCAGATGAAAACAATTTTCTTTGTTTTCACAAAATCCTTTATTATACTTCGACTTTCTGGAATTTTTAAACTTTTTTGGAATTTTCAATTTTCCAAAAATCAATTTCTCTGTTTCAAAACTTTGTCTCGAATTTTTTAAATGTTAAAGTTTTGATAAGTGAAAACCAATGAATTCTGGTTTTTGAAATTTTCCTGACAAGGGAACATTTTAAGTCGATAAGCTGATTCGCATAAACTAACCGTAGAGAATGAAAGAGCGTGTTTCAAAACCTATAAAACTGTTTTCAAAGTCTGCTTACGAAACCTCTAAAGTGCTGAAATTTCAGTTTCAGTACCAAAAATTGGCCTTTTCAGTGCAAAATTTGCTATTTTCAAATTCGATTGTTTCCACTCCTAGAAGGTTTCCGAACATGTACTGTACTTGAAATTAGGTGTATTTTCATATTTCGGCATTTTTTCGCAAAAAAAATTTTTGTTGAAAAATTTCGAGAAATTTCGTACCCTTTGGGTTGGATGATTTTCTCGAATTATTGCCTTTTGTAAAAAATGTTCTGAAAAAATGAAGGTTATGTTTCAAAAATGTTATGAAACATCAAAACATAATACACTTCTCAATTTTATACTTATCCAATTTCAACCAGAGTCCACATATACCTGAATACAATACTTCAAAACTGCTTTCATTTCAATAACTCTAATGACTTGAATATTTTTTCGAAATTTTTGAAATTTTTTTTTTTTAATTTTGTCTCTACATTCTTGAAGTTGTTTAAAAAAAAGAAAACAAACTGACTTCAGGCTGTTGTAATACTGCAAAACCAAAAAAAAAAGAGAAAAAATTAGTAAGCCTAGGAGGGGGTCGTCGAACCATCATACCCCCCATCTCCTCATACTTGTAACGGGCCGAGCCGGGCTTTTTCCCGAATTTCGGAGGCCCGGCCCGGCGGGCCTGTCATTCCACAAGTTTTGAAAATTTCAAAAAACATATAAGGGGGGACCCTTATGTGATTTTCTTCGATCAAAAAATTTTTTTCGAGTTTTTTTTTTGAAATTTTTTGATTAAACAGACAAACAATCCAAAAAGCACAAAAAAAAAATAGAGAATTGTATTGAGAGCTCAAAATTCGGCTCAAAATGACAAAATTTTTGCTACCGGGCCTTGAAATTTTCCTCAGGCCCGGCCCGGAATTTTACAAGTATGCATCTCCTATCCCAACCACTACCCGCTTGCGCCACCAATCCATTTTTTGAAGAGGGATATAAGCGCAGTGATAAAATGCCTGATTTTCCGCGTGTGAAAAAGAGAAATCAATGATAAATTTTGGGCAAAATTAGGACTGGAATTTCAGCACTTTAGAGGTTTCGTAAGCAGATTTTGAAAACGGTTTTATAGGTTTTGAAACACGCTCTTTCATTCTCTACGGTTGGTTTATGCGAATCAGCTTATCGACTCAAGATGTTCCCTTGTGAATATTTAAAATTTCCAAAAATTATCACTGTTTCAAAAAAATTGCCTAATTTTCTAAACTTTGAATTGTCCGTAGCATTCAATTTGTCTTATAAAAATGATGTTTTTTTTCTGATTTTTGAAATTTTGAAAATTTCTTGCTTTTCAAAATTGAACAAAAGTAAACATGTTTGAGCTCATTTTGAAGCTTAAAAACTGCGAATTTTGCTTGTTTATATGGAAATCTGAATTTAGCGCATTGAGAGCTTAAAAATTAGCCTAAACACGCATTGATTCGGGGAGATTCAAAATTTCAGGTGCGTCGCGGTTGTGCGTCGCGTGTTTTGGGCGAAAAATGAAAGTTAGCCGATTTGCATCGTGTTTGGGCTTATTTTGAAGCTCACAATCTCAAAAATCTTTAAATTTGGGTTTCGTGCCGGTTGGGACATTTTGAAGCATTTTATGGGTCAAACAAACTTTGTTAAGCGGTCTCCATTTTTGTGATAAAACCAATTCCTTTTCAGAGTTTTCTCGGTAAACTGAAAAAAATTTTTTTGAAATTTTTTTGAATTAAAAACCCACAATGGTGCTGCTCCTGCATCCCTAAAACTGAACAATATCTATAGTGTTTCGATGGGTCCACATTTCGAAAATCCGGTTGAAATTTCAAATTTCGAGAGTTGAAAACTTCCAAAAGCTTGGATAATTCTTCAGAAGACGTACACATTATTCAGAGATTCTAAGATCTAAAAAAAGATAAATTCAAAAAATGTATTAGGTCAATTAAACCAAAAAAAATCCAAAAAATCCAAAAAAAAATTTTTTGAAACAGAAATTTTCAAAAATTCACATTTTTGAGCAAAAATAAGAATTATTTATATTCCTTTTCTTCTATTTTCTCGAAAAATCTCCATGGTTTTCTTTCTCTTTTTCTCTAACCACTCTCTCAAAAATGCGTACTCTCTCTTTGTCTCTTTGTTTATTCAGTCAGGTTGTGTAATAAACAGCAATTTGTATTGGTGAAAAACTTGGATGACAGGGGAAAAAAGAAATTTGATAAGGAAAATAAAATATGAATCACTATGAGTGTATGATAAAAGAAATTTTAGAGACACTAATTTTTGATTGGGCCATAGCACCCTTCACAATGTCCCAATTCACACAGAAATTATATTTTCAGATTTGTGAGATTGTTGAGATTGTCACATTTCTACGTGAAAAGCGGAATTCACAAAGCCTGAGCTTCAAAATGAGCTCAAACAGGACCATGCTCGCTCAATTTTTTTGAAAACTGCCTGAAATTCTGCAGATATTAGCCCATGAAGTACAAAACCTGAATTTTCAAGTTTGTGAGATTGTGAGCTTTAAAATGAGCCCAAAGCCGCCGCAAATCGGTTAACTTTGATTTTTGCCCAAAACACGCGACACACGACCGCGACGCACCCGAAATTTTGAATCTCACTGAATCATGGCGTGATTAGGTTTATTTTTAAGCTTGCAGTGTGCTGGATTCAAGTTGCTATAGCGAAAATTAGGATTCGCGAATTCTGAGCTTCAAAATGAACTCAAACATGTCTATTTTTGCTCAATTTTCGCCTCCTATGTTGAACTCATTTCTCTCGATTACCATGAAAGATATCAAATCGTGGTCTACTAATAACATGATTATCAGAATATCAGTAATATTTCGTTAGTTGCCAAAATTTTGATAGCTCTTACAGTAACCGAGTTGATTGGCTCGAAAAATTATTTTTTTTTGAAAATCGAAAACTTGAAAAATTAATACTGTTTCAACAAAAACTCAAATCTGACATAACTGATTTCAAAACTGATATGTAGTGTAAACACCCTTCAAAATGTTCCAATTCACACAAAAACAATATTTTCAGATTTGTGAGATTATGAGCTTTAAAATGAGCCTAAACACGGTGCAAATCGGTTAACTCTGATTTTTGCACAAAACACGCGACGCATGTCCGCGACGCACCCGAAATTTTGAATCTCACCGAATCATGGCGTTTTTGGGCTCATTTTGAAGCTATCAATGTACTGAGTTCGAATCTTGGTATTAAAAATCAAACTTCCCAAGTTTCGAGCTTCAAAATGAGCCTAAATACGATTACTTTTCAAACAATTAGCATGTTTGAGTTTGTAATAAAGCTCCGAATTTGCGAATTTTGATGATCAACCTCAAAGTCAAAAAAAAAATAAATTCAGCACTTGGAGAGCTTCAAAATGAGCCCAAATACGCCGTGATTCGATACAATTCGAAATTTCGGGTGCGTCGCGGTCGTGCGTCGCGTGTTGTGGCGAACATTCAAAATGAACCAATTTGCAGCGTGTTTGTGCTTATTTTGAAGCACTTAACGTCAGAAATTGCATTTTTTAAATTCAAATTTGGAAAACTTTTGAATTATGATCTATTTCAGTGGTCCACAAGGTGTCTTCCAAAAATAATGAAGATTTTTTAACTTTTTCAAATTTTGTTGGGTTTTCTGGAATTTTCTGAAATTCAAATGGTTTTTTTTTGAAATTTTCAATATTCCAAAAAACATTAACTGTTTCAAAAATAGTTTTTAAATTTTCTACATTTTCAAGTGTTAGTAAGTAGCATCCATGTATTTCTGATTTTTGAAAATTTTGACCTTTTTTCAATTTTCAGAATTCCCAGACTTTTTGGAAATATTTTAGTCTTCAGATTTTTTGATTTCCAGTTCTCGAATCTCCCTAAAATTCCACAGTTTCAAAATTTTTCTTAAATTCTCTAATATCTCGGAATCTTACAGTTAGTAACATCGTTACACGCTCATGGCGTGCTTAGTTTCAGTTTTTACCCCGAGTTGAATACAACGACTTTGGTTCCAATATAGAGTTTATTATATGAAAGATAAATTAATATAATAAGAAATAAGTGTTAATAGATATATGAATATAATACATAAAAAGATTAAATATAGGAGAAGATGTCCCCTCACATCTCCCTCTCCTCTTCCTCGCACCGACTGACCGCTTGTCCGCCCGAGGAACGCGCATAAAGAGGCGGTCCCTCGGGTAACATCCCATCGCTCCTTAATGTCGAGCGCCTCGATCGACTTCTTCGAACTGTTCTCCTTGCCATTGACCATATCTTGACATCGTATTCATTCAAACATTCAGCATTTTGATATTCGAGTTTATCGTTTTGAAATTTGCGTTCATCATTGACATTTGCGTTTGACATCTTATCATAGTCCGTGGGATGATCCATACAGTGATGATCTTGACTTGTTTTCGAGTCGTGAGCGAGGTCGAGTTGAGAAGAGCATGATGAAGAGACAGTACACTGAAAATTAAAACGAGAGCGAGAGAGATAGAAAATAGAAAATTTAGAGAAATTGATGAATACATACTACTTTGTCAAAATTGTCTAATTAGTGAACTTAAATACTGACATACATTACTTTGAACATTGATAAACTTTTGAATCGACTAAATCTTAAATAATAAAATTTGAGAAGTTAATAATTGAACTACTGAGAACTTAATAATTAAACTACTGAGAACTTACTAATAAGAATACTGAAAACTTAATAATAAAACTACTTTTGTTTACAATTGAATAAACCAATCATATCCTTACCTTTTGTTTTTGATCCTCTCTGATCTTCTGAGATTGTTGCTGCTGTCGGTTTCGTCGTTTCTGCTTTTGGTCTTCCGATTCTGGAATCCTCCTCGCTTTCCATTGTTGTTGCTCCCATTTTCATGACGTTTCCTTCCTTTCCTCTTGATTCCATCGATTCTTTTTGAACTTCTTCGATCCGTTCCTGATGATCCATCGTCTTCATCCTCTTCTGACTCTTCTGGTACCTCCTGGGTTTCTTCATCGTCTTCCCCTTCTGATATTTCCTCTTCTCCGCTTCCTTCCAATCGAACATCATCTGTATTCGCAATCTTCCTCTTCTCTCCATCGGCATACTCGACATTGTATCTGTCCACCTTCAACACTTCAAACGGACCATTGAAAATTTTGCTTCCCAGTTGCACTTTCCTTTCTTTGACACGATGCGTTTTCATGTGCCTTTCCTTGTTCCGTCCGATTTGATCCTTGATTCTTCCTTGTATGATGATGTGGAGATCTTGAAGATGTCTTTTAAGACATTCCTCAAAATCTTCAAGGTCCAAGTACGATGAACCAATGCAATCTTTTGGTTTTGGTCCCAGTTGAATATCTTCCGGCGTTGTTAATTCTCTACCAAAAAGTGCACGATGAGGACTTACTTTGGTCACGGCATGATGCGATGAATTGATAGAGAAAATGATGAACGGCAATTTCTGGTCCCAGTCGGTTTGTTTGGAGTTTACGAACGAAGACAGCGACTCCTCAATTGTTCGATGCACTCTCTCGATGGTTCCGTTTGCAGATTTATGATACGGAGCCGTTAGAGAATGTTTTACTTCCAAAAGTTGTAGAACACTCTCAAATAGTGTTGACTTGAAATTGGATCCGTTGTCGGTGAGAAGCACTCGGTGCAGATCTTACAAAATTTGTGTGAGATCAAATCGAAAGTAGGCTAGGTAAAAAGAGAGACAAAACACTTACCGTCCACTTTTTATAATCATGGCAGCAATTGAACGGAAGAATCAGGTCTTCTGCATTCAGATTTCTTTTGGATGATTCTGCTTCGACTGGAAACAATTTGGAATAAAAATCAAATTCGGAGAATGTAAAATAATACCGTTGCTCACTGTATGCTCTTCTTCTTCATCATCTTGTTCGTCGTCTGAATCTTCCTCCGATTCATCTACCTCTTCAATTTGGACTTTGCTCGTAATAGAAGAAGTACTTGGAGAACAGTCATCGGAATTGTGTTCATTGGAAGCAGTAATCCTCTTTGTCCATCTTACTTGCTCGGGTTTGGAAATGAAGACCTTTATGCATTTGGTTGTAGACACTTCTCATTTCAGCTGAAAAATGACAATCTACAGTTTATACAACTAAGAAAGCATCAGTCACAGCCTCTTTAGCTTTGGGTAACTCTTCTTGGGGGCATTTTGATCTTTTTCCATTGACATGGTGTTTTCTCAGAGATTGTTAGCTTCAAAATGAGCCCTAACACGATGCAAATCGGTTCACTTTGATTTTCGCCCAAAACACGCGACGCACGACCGCGACGCACCCGAAATTTTGAAAATCTCCGAATCATGGCGTGTTTGGGCTCATTTTGAAGCCTTCAACGTACTGAATTCAAATTTTGGCATTAAAGATATTTACTTGCAATTTCTAAGCTTCAAAATGAGAACACGAAATCTTTTTCAAAATTCGTTAGCCAAATTTGTTTGGATCATAAAACCTTTCAAAATGTCCCAATTCACACAAAAATCAAATTTTCAAATTTGTGAGGTCCTGAGCTTTATAATGAGCCTAAACACGATGGAAATCGGTTCACTTTGATTTTCGCCCAAAACACGCGACGCACGACCGCGACGCACCCGAAATTTTGAATCTCACCGAATCATGGCGTTTTTGGGCTTATTTTGAAGCTCTCATTGTGCTGAATTCAAATTTTTACTTGAAAAATACAACTTTTCTTAATTCAAAAATTCCCAAAAATTTGAAAATTTCTTTCAGAAAATCTCGAAAATTTCAGAATTTTCGGAAAACCTGAAATACATTTTTTTCGAAAATTTTGAATACAGAAATTTTGAAATGTTTTATTTCGAAAAATTTCTGTTTCAAACTTTCACCTTTTCTGAAATTTTTCAATATTCGAAAACCTATTACTGTAGTAGGAACTATAGTATTCTTGAATGAATTTTAAGAAAAATTAGTTGAAAATCAAAAATTTCCAATATTTTTGACTCAAAATATATCAATTTTGAAATTATCATTTTTAACTAAAAATTACAGTAATTTTCAAAATTTCGAAAAATATTAATTTGGACCATAACTCCCTTCAAAATGTCTCAATTAACACAAAACCTAAATATTTAGATTTCTGAGGTTATGAGCTTTAAAATGAACCTGAACACGATGCAAATCGGCTAACTTTCATTTTTCGCCCAAAACACGCAATTTGAGTTTGGGCATCAAAATTGGAATTTTCAAATTCTGAGCTTATAAACGGAAAAAAAATCAATTTTAAGTTAGGGATGATGAACAATATAGGAATATAGATATTTTTGTGTTTACTGTAACTATTCTTGGTTGCTACCCTATTACTCACCTTGAATCAACATAAATATTGATAAGTCCCATGACATGGTCGACGGCGACTTGGAAGATGAAGACTGGGTCACCAATTGTTACAAACATTAATTTGATCGTAACAGAAGTAGAATAATGTCCAGAACAATATAGGAATATAGATATTTTGATAAAAATCAATAAAAAAAGTTGAGACGTCCATTCCGAAGGTCGTCATTGAAAAAGGAATGAAGAGGAGGAGAAGGGAGAAGGCTAGTGGCCGTCGGCCTTAGGCTCCGCCCACCCGTTACGTCATTTGAAGAAGGACCGTCTGCACTTGTTGCGCTCTGTTTTACGCAACATCTAATTTACGAGCGCTACGGTCATTGTTACGTCATCTGTGACACAATATGTGAAGGGCGGAAAGATTTATGACGTGTCTCTCCATGACCCCTCTACACCTACCTTGTAACAAAGAGATCAAAGACCAGTTGTTCAAATAATAAAGAATGTGTGACCTTGAAACTCCAGGAGAATTTCTTTTTGAGCTCATTTTTTTAGCTCAGAAAATGAAAATTATAACTTTTATCGCACACATTCAAATTCAGTACACTTAGAGCTCCAAAATGAACCTAAACACGCCATGATTCGGCGAGATTCAAAATTTCAGATGCGTCGCGGTGGTGCGTCGCGTGTTTTAGGTGAAAAATCAAAGTTAACCGATTTAAACCGTGTTTAGGCTCATTTTAAAGCTCACAACCTTTCAAATCCAAAAATTTATTTTTGTGTTAGTTGGTGTTAACTTTTGCAAATTTTCAGATGACTTTTTAAAAAATGAGTGAAAATAGTCATGTTTTGGCTCATTTTGAACCTTAGAGTTTATGAGTTTCTAGTTAATATATCAAAATTTGAATTTAGCACACTGAGAGCTTCAAAATGAGCCCAAACACGCCATGATTCGGTGAGACTCAAAATTTCGGGTGCGTCGCGGTCGTGCGTCGCGTGTTTTAGACGACAGTTAAAAGTTAACTGATTTGCTGCGTTTTTGGGCTCATTTTGAAGCTCTCAGCGCGCTGAGTTCAAGTTTAGCCCTCACAAATACAAATTCGCAAGTTCTGAGCATCAATATGAGCTCAAACATGACTATTTGTTTAAAAAGTCGTGTTTATATTCATTTTGAAGCTCTTAGCATAAGTATAGTTCACTGAATTGAAAATTTGACAGATAACAAAATTAATTTTTAAATTTGCTCAAACAAAAATGTATCTTATCAGTGATATCACACACTGATTCATAACACTCTTCTTTTTATTTTTCTTATCACTACTCGTTTTCCAAGTTTTGTACCAACATTGTTATTTATTACATAACCTGACTTAGAGAAGAAATAGTACGCATTTTTGAGAGAGTGGTTAGAGAAAAAGAGAAAGAAAACCATGGAGATTTTTCGAGAAAATAAAAGAAAAGGTGTATAAATAATTCTTATTTTTGCTCAAAAATGTGAATTTTTGAAAATTTCTGTTTCAAAAAATTTTTTTTTGGATTTTTTGGATTTTTTTTGGTTTAATTGACCTAATACATTTTTTGAATTTATCTTTTTTTAGATCTTAGAATCTCTGAATAATGTGTACGTCTTCTGAAGAATTATCCAAGCTTTTGGAAGTTTTCAACTCTCGAAATTTGAAATTTCAACCGGATTTTCGAAATGTGGACCCATCGAAACACTATAGATATTGTTCAGTTTTGGGATGCAGGAGCAGCACCATTGTGGGTTTTTAATTCGAAAAAATTTCAAAAAATTTTTTTTTCAGTTTACCGAGAAAACTCTGAAAAGGAATTGGTTTTATCACAAAAATGGAGACCGCTTAACAAAGTTTGTTTGACCCATAAAATGCTTCAAAATGTCCCAACCGGCACGAAACCCAAATTTAAAGATTTTTGAGATTGTGAGCTTCAAAATAAGCCCAAACACGATGCAAATCGGCTAACTTTCATTTTTCGCCCGAAACACGCGACGCACGACCGCGACGCACCCGAAATTTTGAATCTCACCGAATCAATGCGTGTTTAGGCTCATTTTTAAGCTCTCAATGCGCTAAATTCAGATTTTCATATAAACAAGCAAAATTCGCAGTTTTTAAGCTTCAAAATGAGCTCAAACATGTTTACTTTTGTTCAATTTTGAAAAGTAAGAAATTTTCAAAATTTCAAAAATCAGAAAAAAAATTTTTTGCACTGAAAAAAAATTTTGCTCTGAAAAGGCCAATTTTTGGTACTGAAACTGAAATTTCAGCACTTTAGAGGTTTCGTAAGCAGACTTTGAAAACAGTTTTATAGGTTTTGAAACACGCTCTTTCATTCTCTACGGTTAGTTTATGCGAATCAGCTTATCGACTTAAAATGTTCCCTTGTCAGGAAAATTTCAAAAACCAGAATTCATTGGTTTTCACTTATCAAAACTTTAACATTTAAAAAATTCGAGACAAAGTTTTGAAACAGAGAAATTGATTTTTGGAAAATTGAAAATTCCAAAAAAGTTTAAAAATTCCAGAAAGTCGAAGTATAATAAAGGATTTTGTGAAAACAAAGAAAATTGTTTTCATCTGAAAATAGGGGAAATTCACAGTCGATTAATTAATTAATTTTGGGATGGAGAGGGAACGTAATAGACAAATATTTGATGATTTTTGGAAAAGCAAACTTTGAAACAGCAAAAAAACATCTTTATTCTTTTTGAAAGACACCTTGTGGACCTTCCAAATTGCTCACAACTTTAAATTTACAATTTTCAAAACAACAGTTTGAATTTCTGACTTTGAGTGCTTCAAAATAAGCCTAAAACACGACTAGAAAAATTTCAAAAATTTCAGGGGCAAATTTACTTGGACCATAAATCGCTTCAAAGTGTCCTAACCACCACAAAAACATTTTTTCATACTTGTGAGGTTGTAGCTTCAAAATGAGCCCGGGGATCCTCTAGAGTC